CCACTCTGTCTTCCCTTTAATTATGTATCTCTTTAAAAAGAAAAAAAAAAATCAATATTAAACCCTTAAGCCTGATTGCTTATATAGAGACTTTGAAACTTTTGGTTACAACCCAAAAAAATATATTTTACATCTAGAGCCAGTGCACACAAAAAATCATACCTATAAAACCTACACTTAAGTTCCTCAAAACATTTATCCTTACTACATGTGACAGACATATCTTATCCACTCTAATCCACTTTTTCAATGCTGGTGACCCAACTCACAGTTTGAAATACTTAATAAATGAGGTACACTGATTCATTTCTCTACGTAGCAATAAGGAAGTAAATAGCTAAGAGTTCTGCACGCCTGGATTCAAATACCAGCTGTACCTCTTGTAAGCTGTCAAGTTTTCTGCCTCAGTTTCCTTGTCATAGGATAAGAGAAGTGTTTATCTCAGAGTTAAAGATTAACCAAAACCATCCATGTAAAGCACTTAACCCATAAAAAATACAGTCATGTATTGCTTAACAATAGGGATACATGGGTCGTTAGACAAGAGATGGGTTGTTAGGCAATTTCATTACGCTAATATCATAGAATGTACTTATACAAACCTAGATGGTATAGACTACCACACACCTAGGCTATGTGGTATAGGCTACTGCCTCTGGGCTAACTGTACACCATGTTACTGTACTGAATGCTGTAGGCAAATGTAATATAATGGTAAGTGTGTGCATTTAAACATATCTAAACACAGAAAAAGTACAGGAAAATATGGTATAAAAGATAAAAAATAAGGCTGGGTACTGTGGCTCAGGCCTATAATCCTAATGCACTGGGAGGCCAAGACGGGAGGATTGCTTGAGCTCAGGAGATGAGCCCGAGCAAGAACAAGACTCCATCTCTACTAAAAATAGAAAAATTAGCTGGATTCCCATGGCACATGCCTGTAGTCCCAGGTACTCCGGAGGCTGAGGATGGAGGATCGCTTGAGCCCAGGAGTTAGAGGTTGCAGTGAGCTATGACACCACTGTACTATACCCAAGGTGACAGCATGAGAGTCTCAAAACAAAAGAACTCTTTAAAGGTGAGTTCTTGTTTAAAAAAAAAAAAAAAAAAAAACAGTACACCTGTGTAGGACTGAAAGTTGCTCTGGGTGAGTGCACAGCAAGTTAAATATGAAGGCCAAGAACTTTACTGTACATTACTATATACTTTATAAATACTGTACACTTTGGCTGCACTAAACTTACAATTATTTCTTCAATAATAAACTAAACTTAGTTTATTATAACTTTTTTTACTGTATAAAAGTTTTAATTTTTAACTTTTTTAACAAACTCATTGTACAACTATACAAAATTATTTTCTATCTTTATTCTATAGCTTTTCTCTAAATTTCTTTTAAGTTTTATACTTTATTGTTAAAAACTAAGACATAAACACATCAGCCCAGGTCTACACAGGGTCAGGATCATCAAGATGTCACTAGGCAATAGGAATTCTTCAGCTACATCATAGTTTTTTTGTTAGTTTTTTTTGTTTTTTTGAGAACAGGGTCTTGCTTTGTTGCCCATGCTGGAGTGTAATGGCGTCAGCCTAGCTCACAGCAACCTCAAACTCCTGGGCTCAACCAATCCTTTTGCCTCAGCCTCTCAAGTAGCTGAGGCTACAGGTGTGTACCACCATGCCCAGCTAATTTTTTCTAATTTATTTATTTATTTATTTATTTATTTTGAGACAGACTCTCATTCTGTTGCCTGGGCTAGACTGCTGTGGTGTCAGCCTAGCACACAGCAACCTCAAACTCCTGGGCTCAAGCAATCCTTCTGCCTCAGCCTCCCGAGTACCTGGGACTACAGGCATGCGCCACCATGCCCAGCTGATTTTTTTTTCTATATATTTTTAGTTGGCCAATTAATTTCTTTCTAGTCTTAGTAGAGACAGGGGTCTCACTCTTGCTCAGGCTGGTTTCGAACTCTTGACCTTGAGTGATCCTCCCACTTAGATCTCCCAGAGTGCTAGGATTACAGGCGTGAGCCACCGCGCCCGGCTTAATTTTTCTATTTTTTGTAGAGACGAGCTCTTGCTATGTTGCTCAAGCTAGTCTTGAGCTCCTGGCCTCAAGTGATCCTCCCACCTTAGTCTCTTAAGTAGCTGGAACTATAGGCAAGTGCCACTGTGCCCAGCTTTATACTGTGGTAAAATACACATAAAATTCATCATTTTAGCGCTCTTAAAATGTACAATTCACATTGTTGTGTGACTACCATCACTCTCTAGTTCCAGAACATTTTCATCACACCAAAAGGAAACCCCATACCCATTAAGCAGCCAGTCACTCTCCATTTCTCTCTTCCTCCCCAGCCCGTGACAAATACTCATCTGCTTTCTGTCTCTAGATCTGTGGACTTTTTTTTTCTTTTTTCTTTTTTTTTATTTCAGCATATTATAAGGGTACAGGCCGGGCGCGGTGGCTCACGCCTGTAATCCTAGCACTCTAGGAGGCCTAGGCAGGTGGATTGCTAGAGGTCAAGAGTTCGAAACCAGCCTAAGCAAGAGTGAGACCCCGTCTAATATATATATATAATTAGCCGGGCATGGTGGCGCATGCCTGTAGTCCCAGCTACTCGGGAGGCTGAGGCAGGAGGATTGCTTGAGCCCAGGAGTTTGAGGTTGTCGTGAGCTAGGCTGACCCACGGCACTCACTATAGCCTGGGCAACAAGTGAGACTCTGTCTCAAAAAAAAAAAGGGTACAAATGTTTAGGTTACATGTGTTGCCTTTCCTCCCCTTCCCCCCTGGAATCAGAGCTTCAAGCACGTACACCCCCCAGATTGTGCACATGGCACTCATTATGTATATACCCATCCCCACCTCCCCCCTCCCACCTGCCTGGCGCCTGATAAATGTTGTTCGTGGACTTTTTAAACAATGAATTAACACTTGACTGGAACAATTTTCTAAGGTAGAATGAAGTATTTTTTGGAGTCACTGGTCCTGTTTAGCTGAATCTTGGCTCAAGAGACAAACTTCTGCTAATCATTGTTCAAGTAAACCTGTGAGTCACTTTAGACAATTCTGTGACGTTAGGATCAGAAATCTCTCTCCCTTTTAGTAATCAGACCCATGCTAGGTCATAGAACACTCTTCTGTGAATTTTCTAACAGTAGGATTGCCAGCCTGCCCAGCGCTGTGGAGTAGAGACCACCTTCTGTGTATGTTAAGATGCAGAATGAGCAAGGCCCTAAGATATTTTTTCATCACATGGTAGAATATCACCAAAAAGAAAAAAAAAACCCAAAACCTCCAAAGAGTTGAACACAGAAAACCTGAATGTCTCTTCTTCAGACTGCATTTTGAAACTGCTTCTGAGGCAGAGGCAGGCAAACTTTTTTGACCAAGGGGTAAAAAACAAAAGTGAACCTGGACACAGAACTAGAAGTCCATTTCTTGGCTTTAGGATGTACTATCATTTCCTTTTTAGCCTCCAACCCTCTCACACCCTTCCTTTGGGGTGTGGAAGACTGGGCAAAAGTAACTGTTCTTCCCAGAGTCTATTTGGCAGTCGCTCCATACCCCTTCAGGGCAATAACGGGGGCAGGAAGGTTTCCTTTCCAGGAAGCGCAGTTTGGGGCAGGAAGGTTTCCTTTCCAGGAAGCGCAGTTTTTCTTTCAGAAACGGTGACGTGACGGCAGAAGGCTTCTTAGGCCAAAGAAATAAATTGTCACCAAGACACACAGCAGACGTAAGACTAGAAAACAATGTCTTTGGCCCCAGATGTAGAAGCCAGCAGCTTTTATTTATTTATTTTAAATAAAATCCAACACCGTTCCCACAGCAAACAGGCAGCAAAGTCTCCTCATTTGCCACTCTCCCTTCACCCTGCCTCTGCATCCTATCCACACCGCTTCCCCACCACAGGGAGAACGCTGGACACGGACTGGGGCACGGGCAGCTCTCGGTCAAGCCGGCTTTGGGGGGGGGGGAGTGCGGTGACTCCGAGTCCCAGAACCCCACGAGCCTCCCGGACTCCCCTTGACTCCCTGAGCAGCAGCCAGAGGTCGCTTTGTTGCTTGGGGGCCCAGGGATGGGAGTGGGGGTAGGGGTAGGGTGAAGGATGAGGGTTTTGGTTTTGTTTTTTATTAAAGAGATGGGGTTTTGCTCTCTGTCGCCGCCCAGGCTGGTGTGCAGTGGTCCAATCATAGCTCACTGCAGCCTCCAACTCCTGGACTCAAGAGATCCTCCCGCCTCAGCCTCCCGGGTAGCTGAGATTACAGGCCCACGCCACCTCACCCGGTTGGGAAGAAGGACTTTAACCAGCAAATCAGCCCAAGAAACTTCACATTCGAACTCCCAGAACTGCGCCAAATTTTGGAACTGTCCTGAGCAAGAGTAAACTTGAAGTGGACAAAAGAGAATTACGACTCTCCGGGGACCCCAGTCCCCCCCCCAAGTCAGTGAGAGCGCAGGTCCCCTCGTCTGCAACGAAGGATCGCCCCACAGCTTCAACGCAGACATACCAAAAACTAGGATCTCGACAGAAGGGACGACCCAGGACGCGTCACTGCAACTAGCGCCCAGGTGATGCTCACCGTGGGCAAGTTTGGAGCCGCCCGTGCCTCGGCCATCCCGCCCTGGGCGCTCGGGCGAGAGCGGCTCCAGGGTCCGGACCTCTGGAGAGTTCGCGAGCGCGGTCCCACCCACGCGGGCCCCGGACGCTCGAGAACTGCGCGCTGGGAGCCCGGAGGACCCAGCGAGCGCCGCTGAGCAGGTCCCAGGGGCGGAGAGGTCGCCGCCACTCAGGGCGCCCTCACCGCGCGCCACGCACGGCCCTCGCCCGGACGAGGCCGAGGGCCGGCGCCGAGGGCGGGGTTCGCTCGGAAGCGGCGGCGCTCCGCTCGCTTCGCCAAGAGTGAGGCAACTCCGGGAACTTCCCGGGCCGGCGCGCGCTTCCCGCTCGCACCTCCCCGCGCCCCGCACGCCCGAGCAGCCCGCGGGCACACCGACCTGAGATGGTCTCCTGGTAGCCCTTGGTGAAGAACTGCATGGCCGTGGCCGCCCTCCAGGGCGTCTTGAGCAGCCCTTGCCGCTGGGGGTCCTCGCCCAGCGAGCGCAGGATGGACGAGTAGGCGGCCGCCAAGTTAGGGAGGTTCAGCTCGTTGTCTTCCTCGCTGCGGGGCCGCTCGCCCTTCCAGCTGCCCGCGGGCTGGGCGCTCTTGGCCTCGGGCCGCGGGGACTTCTCGGCCGGCCGGCTGGGCCCGGGCCGCGGCGGCTCCCGCTCGGGGAACCCATTGCTGCACCTGGCGCCCCGCGGCTGCTCCGCCGGCGCTCGCACGGGGCCGTCCTCCATGGGCCCGCCGCCGCCGCTCGAGAAGGGCCCTGGGGCGCCTCGGGGGCTGCGCCTACACTTCGCCCGCGGCCGAGGGGCTGTGGCCGGAGTCACCTGCGGAAGGCGGACGACCGGCCAAGTCACGCTCCCAGCCGGGGGCAGCTGCGGGCCGGAAAGCCCAGCGCGCCCCCTTTATAGGGCCCGGCCGCTCGGCCGGCGCCGCGGGGCGTTCCCATTGGCCGGCGCCGCCTTGCGTCACGGCGCTCGCCCCGCCCCCGCGCCCTGCCCCCCGGGGGTGCCCCGAGCAGGGGCGGCGGCCCAGCGGGTGCGGGGAGGGAAGGCTGGTGACCCGGCTGGGCCCGGGCGCCTCCCGCGCCGGCCCCCAGGAGCGGGTTGGACTCCTCCAGGTGTTGCGGGATGAAACGAATCCGAAAAGAGCCAGGCGTCCGAGAGCTGGAAGCTCGGCGCGGGCAGACAGGGTCCGAGCGCCCGGTCAGCCCTCGCTCCAGGGCGCTGCGTACAAGTGCCCTGGGCCCCTCGCCCTGAAAGACCGGCAGACAGGTGGTCTTGCCCTGGAGGAGACCGAGTTAAGCCCTTGATAAGGAAACCAACTCTTAAGCATTCAAGGCAAGAGAATAATGTGACTTGAAACTCTTGCTTTGCTAGTTAAAAATACGTGCAACCAGCCACCTACGAATCAGGTGGCACCGCTGTCAGGACAAGTGTTACATCGAGTGGCCCTTATGTGAGTCTCTGTATCTGGAAGGATAGCATTTGTGTTGGCCAGAACTCAGACCCTGGAAAAATTGATTTATAAGCAAAGAAAAGGTAAAAGCTTTCATTTAAAATCCATTTGCGTTTTCTAGAAACGCAATTGTGAAAATTCAGTGCTTGATCGTTTTAAAGTGACGTGCAAATCAAAGCCCCTTCCCCCAGATGTTGACACAAATTGTGAAATGCTATTGATCAACTGGACTCTTAACCAGTGACATCTGGTTTGATTGTTTTCTTTGAGATTAAAAAATGGACTCTTTGGCCTGCGCGGTGGCTCACGCCTGTGATCCCAGCACTCTGGGAGGCCGAGGGAGGAAAGGTCGCTTGAGGTCAGCAGTAGAAACCATCCTGAGCAAGAGCGAGACCCCATCTCTACTACTATAAAAATAGAAAAAATGAGCCGGGGGTAGTGGCAGGCACCTGTAGTCCCAGCTACCGGGAGGCTGAGGCAGGAGGATTGCTTGAGCCCAGGAGTTTGAGGGTACAGTGAGCTATGATGATACCACTGCACTCTAGTTGGGGTGACAGAATGAGAGAATCTGTCTCAGAAAAAAAAAAGGACTTTTTTCCTCACTTGAGGATTATCTCATAATGCAAAGATGAATTTTAAAACATGTATCCAATTACTATCATTGGATGGGGCATGGTGGCTCACACCTGTAATCCCAGCACTTTAGTGGGGGAGATCACTTGAGGCCAGGAGTTCAAGACCAGCTCCGGCAACACAGTGAGACTCCATCTCTACAAAAAAAATTTTTTTTTAATTAGTGGGTTCCAATGGTGTGTGCCTATAGTCCAGCTATTCAGGAGGCTAAAGCAGGAGGATCTCCTAAACCCAGGAATTCAAGGTTGCAGTGAGCTATGATGGAGCCACTACACACCAGCCTGGACAAAGGTCCCTGTCTCTTAAAAAAAAAGTCATTATTTCTAATGTATAAACAGGTAGCAGTTGTTAATAGGCTTAGGATCAGAAAAACTAATAGTGAAGCCTATGAAATTATTCTACACTAATAGTTTGGTCATTACATTAATAATTAGTAATTAGTATTAATTGGATGTCTGCTCCAAGCATATCCCTATTCTAAACATTCAGGAAAGAAATATATCTGGCCTTGTAGGCACTTTTAGTCTAAAAAAGAAGAAATATTCATATTGATGGGGTTTTTTTTAAGAGAATTTTCAAATTCCCATGTATATTAAATACCAAATCATATAAATCAAGAAATTCATATTTCATTCCTTGAGAAAGGCTATTTGTCATTCTCCTCTTTATTATAAATTTTTTGCTATCAGCAAGGCCCTGCAATGTTTTTTTTTTCCTCTATCTGCATTGCATACTATCCACTGATACCTCCTGGTCAGATTTATCTGCCGGGTGGCAAACTAATTCAAGTATAGTTAAAGACAACATTCAAAGGATGGCCTTGCATGCATGTAACTCATGAAAACAAAGATACAAAGTGAGGTACTTTAAAGACACAGGGATTAAATGGAGATGGTTTCAGTAAGAATTTTATTTTAGGTTGGGTGTGGTGGTTCATGCCTATAATCTGAGCATTTTGGAAGGCTGAGGCAGTAGGATTGCTTGAGGCCAGGAGTTTGAGACCAGTGTGGGCTACAAAGTGACATGCTCTTCTCTACAAAATATTAAAAAAAATAAAACATAACCAGGTGGTACATACCTGTAGTTCCATCTACTAGAAGGGCTGAGGTGGGAAGATGCCTTGAGCCCAGGAGTTTGAGGTTGTAGTGGCCTATGATGATGCTACTGGAAGCTCTCAGAACTCTGTCCTCTTGGGCCTTTTTATGCCCACTGTAGCCCCAGGAACAGAGCGAGATCTCACTCTGTCACCTCGGCTAGAGTGCTGTGGCATCAGCCTAGCTCACAGCAACCTCAAACTCCAGGGCTCAAGCGATCCTCCTGCCTCAGTCTCCTGAGTAGCTGGGATTACAAGTGCTTGCCACCATGGCCGGGTAATATTTTCTATTTTTTAGTAGAGACAGGGGTCTCGCTCTTGCTCAGGCTGGTCTCGAACTCCTGACCTCAAGCTATCCTCCTGCCTTGGCCGCCCAGAGTGCTAGGATTACAGGCACGAGCCACCGAACCCAACTAAAGAATTTCTTTTTAGTGGTAATCATTTGCATTCCCTTAAAAATATTCATAAACATTAACTAATATCATATTCATACCCAAAAACAATTGCTAAAGAAATTTTTACCCTAAAAATTTAACATTTTCTTGTACATACTGCTGCTGAGGCATCAGCACTTTTGTTGCCAATTACCAGCAGTCTCTGAATTCGTGCTATAATATATTCACTTGTAAAATGGAGGCATTGCCTTTCACCCAAATGCCCAAAGGTAACACAAGAAAATTTTAACGTCGCCAACATATAAACAGCTTAATGGCAAAATATAGATAGTTGGCAGGGGAGGTTATAAGTAGCAACAGGAGAAAAAAGAGGAATAAACTAAAAGAAAATGAAAATGTCCCATAGAATTTATTAGCACAAGTGGCTTAACAGTAGAACTATGAGCATTCCCAGCCAGGAATTATAGCATCCATGTTTCTAACCCAGTAAGGGGCCCATTTTTAGCTTGGATCCAGTCTGGGAGTTTCTTTCTACCAATAAAACCAAAGAATTTCTAAAAATTTTCCCATTTCTAGGGTAGTAAGAGAACAAATAAGGGACACATATAATGCCAAAGACCTAACACCACAGGGGTACAGAACCTAACACCACAGGGGTACAGAAATGTAGAGCCACTTGCCAAGTACGATATTATGACATACGTATATATTGGTTTTTGTTCATAGTTCCTGGCTCATAACTCATGTCTTTTTTTTTTTTTTTTAAAGACTGAGTCTTGCTCTGTCACCCACGCTAGAGTGCAGTGGCGTCACTATAGCTCAGTGCAACCTCCAACTCCCGGGCTCAAGTGATCCTCTTGCCTCAGCCTCCCGAGTAGCTGGGACTACAGGCACCTGTCACTGTGCCCACCCCACTAATTTTTCTATTTTTAGTAAAGATGAGGTCTTGCACTTGCTCAGGCTGCTCTCAAACTCCTGAGCTCAAGCAATCCTCCCAGAGTGGTAGGATTAGGATTATAGGCATGAGCCACCACACCTGCCAATAGCTCTCTTGTTATAAGGCTGGGGGGGCTTAGATCTCAGAAGCAGACTTCAGAAAACAGAATCAATATCTCTGTCTCTGTCACTGTCTCTCTCTCTCTCTCTCTCTCTCTCTGACCTTCTCCTGATCTCCTTTTATCAGCCTAAGGCAGAATTCTAATCTTACCCCACCTTTCCAATTGTGAGTCATAAGACCCTCGCTCTAGAGAGGTCCCAGTCCCACACCCTGGAGGAAGGAATGCTGCACAGAGAGGCTTGATCACATTTCCACACGGTCGTCCTTGATTCAGTCATGCCTGTCCAATGAAGTCTCCATAAAAGGCCCAAGAGGACAGAGTCCAGGAGCTTCCAGACAGCTGAACATGTGACAGTTCCTGGAGTGTGGTGCCCGGGGGAGGGCATGGAAGCTCTGCACCCTTCCCCCATACTTTGCTCTATGCATCCTTTCATCTGGACCCTTTGTAATATCCTTTATAATAAACCAGTAAATGTATTTCCCTGACTTCAGTGAGCTGCTCTAGCAAATGAATCGAACTCAAAGAGGAGGTCATGGGAACTCCAACTTGAAGTTAGTCAGAAGTTCTGGAAGTAGGCCTTGCAACTTGCAGCTGGTGGGAAGGAGTGGGCAGTCTTCTGGACTGAGCCCTCATCCTCTGGAACCTGAGGGTGTCTCCAGGTAGAATTGAATTAGAGGACACCCAGCAGGCATCCTCTGCCTTCACGGAAGTCTTTTGTGTTGACTGTTGTAATGTGAGAGCAAAGGAGAAACATGGTTAGAGTTTTGCCAAACACAAAGGATAACAGATAAACTAAAATTAGGCATTTGGTGATGGTAATTGGAAAAAAGTAAATTGCTTCAAATGGACTTGATGGAGGTTCTATATTTGAAATCCAAACTTTGGAGGAGATTCTGGGTCAAGGTAGAAAGGTACATAAGAAAAATATCTTTATCCCAACCCTAACTCCCAGAAGCAGGACGGTTCTATGGTGTAGATCATAGAACCCTGAGATGTCTCACTGAATCCACCAAATGTAGGGAGAAACAAACTGAATGGAGGCTCCTACCTTTCTTCTCTTCTGTCTGAGGAGGAACAGAACAACTTTTGGAGAGAAAATGGAAGCATAGGAACATGAAGCTGACTCTGAGATGAAAGGGAGGCTCAAAGGCTCCATACTGAGTTTAGGGAACTATCCAAAGCTCAAAGCTACCTCCTAAGGGAAAGATAGACATACCCCACGCAGTCATGTGTCTCTGG